GATCTTATATATATATATATATATATATTCAAACTCATGATTTGTAGAGATGATTGAGCTATGAATAAGTGATGGGAAAATATCAACATAATAATAATATAGACCAAACTCAAATAATTAATGCAGCAGAAATAAATCCTCCCGTAAGAATTTATGAAGAATAACAACCAATGAACAATAATAGTAAATCACTAAAATCACATATAAAGAGACCAAAATTTTAATGTGATCAATAAAGAGTAAAAAAATAGTTTCACTATGATCAATAAAGAGTACAAAAGAGTTCCAATAAACTGCACAAAACAGTATTAACACCCAGTCAAACAACAAAGCAATAAAACTTATAAATAAATAACAATGAAGATGAAAAATTCTAAATACACAGCTACAGTGCGAACTGAATATCTCCCAATTTAGATCTCGTATCAACGATCCAACTATTTAGAATGAAGAATCAGAGGTCCTGGACCTATTGTCAAATTTTCGGTCCAATCCAACAGTGAACAAATCTGCAATATCAATTTTACAGTCATAACTTTGTATAAAAACGAGAATGACTTTCTCTCTTCTTCTCTCTCAAAGTACTGGTGTTCAAGTGACTTTTGACCTTTCCACTTTTTTTCACCTCATATGCTTCAAACCCCTTTTCACTTAAATAAGTAAGACATCAAGTAAATTTCTTAATTTTGGACATTTTCTCCATATAGGAAGGGAGATCAATATCCAACAATAAATCCATTAAAAGAAATAACAAAACAACGCATTGTAGTACATTAGATAGATTATACATTACTCTATTTCAAGATTTTGTCTCTATCTTGTACACTTTTAATGCACTATATTTCCCTTTTGTTACACTAGGTGTTAGACTTTCTTTCTAGTACATGAAAATTTGCTTCATTAATTTCCATGTTAATTTAAGTATGTGCTTACATACAGATGATTGTGGAAGAGATGAATATCTTGACGACGGTGTTTCTTCGATATGACAATGAGAAAATATACTACCCAAACGCAGTTTTGCTCAATAAGCCAATAAGCAATTTCTATAGGAGTCCAGAGATGTGGGATTCAATTGATTTCACCATTGATGTCTCAACTCCCATGGAGACCATCCTTTCACTCAAGAAATCCATGCAAATGTAAGTTCTTAATTCATTCCTCATTATTAACTTTATGTTTTATTTTTCTACCACCTCTAAGATACATGATTATATTTTCTCTGGACAAATCTATAAATAAAAAATGTTTAAATTTTTTAAATTAAATATAAATAAATTTTATTAAGTGTTTGATGTTTTTAGTCCAAAAAAATCTTTATACTAATAAGTGAGAACATTATAGGTGGTTAAAGATATTTTGAAAAATATGATGTATAATTTATACAAAATTGTGAAAATTTAATGTATTTGATAAACTTTAAATTAGTTTTATTTTCTTATATATAGGTTATGAGGGACTACATATTTAAGAAGTTATATAAACACTTTTTTCTTCATTTTGTTAATATTTGAGTTGTGTGATTATGAGTTTAGCTACATTGAGAGCAAGCCAAAGTATTGGAATCCAAAACACAGTATGATAGCAAAGGGAATTGATAACGTGGACAAGATAAAGTTGTGCTTATCTGTGCAACATACGATCAACCATCAGAACTACGGTGAGCGAAACGTTAGGATAACGGAGCTACTCTTGGAAATGAAGAAGATCTTTGAGATCCATGGTGTCAAGTACAGTCTTCTTCCTCAGGAGATCCAGATTACCCATATGAACATTGAAAATGGGAAAGTTCTGTTTCAATCATGAAGTAGCTACACTTTCAATCTCTTTCCATTTCCTCCTGGAAATAAATACCACAACAATCACTTGGTTTGAAACTTTCAAATTATTTTGCTTTCAAACATCAACTCTACTATATATGCTCTAATTGCACTATGTTATCAACCGGAATTACGGTGTTATATATATGCATTATTAGCTTACTGGGAATATCAGTGTAACTTGTTTATTGAGCTAACTCATCTACGAGGATAATGTATGTTTATTGTGCTAAACTTCGTATAACTATTTTTTTTATTACCCAGCATTAAAGTGCATGTTCATTAGTATATTATTTTAAAAACAGTAAATGTTTATCATTTTTTTTTTTTTTACTTATGGCTCTATTATTTTCGGTAATAGAATAATTTAGTTTTTTTTTTTGTTTTAACATTCCAGATAGTTTTTCCGTAAAGTTTACGTAACTTTGATAAAAGAAATGATAAATTACAAGTACAATTATAATGCTTGAAATTATTATAAATATTACATTGTACGTAATTGTAAACATACATAAAAGTTTAAGAAAAAAATATATTTTATCTACAATTATATTGCTTTGTAATTATAATTTTTTATTGATAGAAAGATGAAACAAAGATTGCATTTCAGATGATTTCTATTCTTCTTGCAATTCATGGAAAAACAATGTCCTTTCTTTTTATTAATTTTAATTAGCATAAAAAAATATAAATGAAATATAAGAAATAATTAGAATAGGTATGTACTTTTGAGAATAATTCTCAATTAATTATAAAATACATCACCCATAACCTGAATTTTGAAAAACTATAAAATGAGATTTACAATGTCATGTATAAATATAACATATTTAATGTGATTTAATATATATAGTTTATTGTGGCACTCTCTATATCGTATATTATAACACATTATTAAAGAAAATAAATTAAAATACCTCATAACACAAAGAACTGGAATCCATATAGTATAGAGAATCACATTGAAACTTAACTCAAAAACATAATGGAAATAATTAAATTACAAAGAAATTAAAATCATAGTCCTCCAACTAAACCACATGAAAAGGATTCATAATCTAGTCCTAATTATGTTCCAATATTACATGTCTTATCAGAGTAATCCAACATGAAGGCTAAATCTCATTACCAACATCTCTAATATCAAATTGATGATCACCTACATAAACCACAAGAGCAATCACTACAAAAAAATACTATTTAACTGTCACTATTTCATGTGTTTCGATCATTATTAGATTCAGTGACCGAATTAGCAACCAAAAGTTTTTCTTCGTGAAAAGCCTAATCGCTATTGGTAATAGCAACCGAAATTTTGTCTATCACTACTTAGCGACTGGCGTAACTATATAAAACATATTTGTTGCTATAGTATTGGTAGTCGGGCTTGTGTGACCAACTTGACAACTGAAAAATGTGGTTGCAATTTCAGTTGCTATATAATAATTTAAAAAAATAAATGGTCATTTTATATTCAGTTGTTGATTTGATCACAAAAACTGCCACTGATTTGTTTTGTCGCCATTTCCGTTGCTAAACATATGGTCGGTACTTCGGTAGCAAATTAATTTGTAATTTGTTACTAAATTTATTAGTCTCTAATTTGGTCGCTAATTTTAACCCGTATATTTTCTTCTTTTTTTGAATTAGGAGTATAAATTTAGAGCTTTTAATAATTATAACAAAATATTTATCATCAAAATATTAATTTCACAATTTAGAATACTAAACAATAACATACTATTTTTTTTCTCCATAGCATCTCATCAATGTTAAACAAGTAAATCAAATATGATGTACTAAAAACATAAAGATAACATAAAAAGTTAGAACATCAACAAAGTAAATCTGAAATACAACCACAAAAGCTAAAACAAGTAAATTAAAGGAGCATAATCAAAGGTCTTTTGTTATATCCTTAAGAGCATCGTCAACATTATGTTCAGGATCATCTGTAGTAGTACTTGGTACAGGAGAGGTTGGCCTTAAAGGCTCAATCTGGAGGTGTCGTAGAATATATTGCGCATTTGCTCATCATGTTGTTGTATATGATCTTCCAATTATTTTTCCTTTGCCTCCTTTGCAACAAGCTCAACATTTAATTTAGCTATCCTATTTTGCATTTCCTCTATCACCCCTACAGTGACTGGTGATGCTTGGGACATAGAAGACTGGGGATGTATGGAGTGAATGAAGTCATCGACCAATCCAAAAAGCCCATACAAGTTTCCCTTCACATCCTTCTTAACAACTTGCAAATAAATTTCATTATCACTAATAGAGGTAGAAGTAGAGCCATGTGTGCTGATGGAGTAGTTCCTTCCATGGGTGATGACAATGGTTGAAAGGAGACTCCTTGCCCTTGATCTAGGCTCATCAAAGGTAGGACAAAGGGAGGTTTATGGTGGAAAAAGGAAGCTAGGTGAGAGATAATGTTTAGGGTGGCGGAAGCATATGGTGAAAGGTGTTTGGTTACTCACGGTTGGCTCACTCCAAAGGTAAATGGAGGCCACTCTAGGGTTCTCACTCTCCAATGGTGGAGATAGGAGAAGGTTAGCCAAAGGTAACCTAGTGACTAAGGAGAGGATTTGAGGCACAAAAAGGCTCACTCAAATTCATATATTCCAAAGTATTTACAAGTGGTGGGGTGTGGGGTATTTATAGGAGGGGAGGCATCTAGGGTTTCATTTGGGATGTGCTTGGCCGAAATTCATATGGCTAATGCACTCCAAATGAAATGCAAATAAACCCTAGATGCAACTTGGTGCCCAAGGATGGAATCTATGAGTTTAGATTGGCTATCTCTAGGTGCATGATAAGACCATGCAACCTTTGCCCTCCACTTGGGCCTAAGCCTTTCTAACACCAAAAATAGATCCAATGACACCAAAAAAATATGCGTCACCCTCTAATGAAATACCCTAGCCCAAATTAAAAACCTAATCATCTAAAGCACCCCATAATACAAGGGTAAAATGGGAAATACAAAGAAA